TTTCTAAGATATTATTAGATAATCCCTTAATACGAAATGATGTTATTTAGAATTAAATAATTCTCGTATTAAATTCTTAAGTTAAATTTTTATGCTTTCTGCTAAAAGTATAGTTAATTATTTTATTAAGTCTACGGTCTACGGGAAAAGTAAAGTTAATCCTGTTACGTTTCGATCCATGCGAGTCGGGGTGTTACAGTGGGTACCTCGGAAAAGAGGATCAGATCCCTAAAGGGATTACTTCATTAGCAATCTGAAGCTTACAACACAAGCCTCTTATGATAAAACTGAACGTCATAGGAAAAACCCCTATATGGATGCATCTCCACCATGTAGGGAAGCGTATGCGCCTCTGATCAGGATGACCTCATTGGCTCTTCAAGGTTTACAGCACAAGCCTCCTATGATGAAGTTGAACGTCATGAGAAAAGCTCCTACATGGATGAACCATCCACCGTGTAGAGAAGCGTGGATCCTCGAAGGAAAGAATCGAATCCCAAAAGGGGTTATCTCATATTTCGAGGCGTGAAACAACGTTATAATTGCTGAAAAGATATATACCTCATGGAGGTCCCAAAACTTTGAAGTTATAGTTTATTTTTTAAGGTCATCATGTTTACTTTACTCGCTTGTAAGTTATATTGTTAAAATTATGTATTTTATGGAGGTCCCAATACTCCAAGTTATTGCTTGAGTCAGGAATCTTATTACAAGTTATATATTTTATTGATAGTTGTCTCAATACTTGGAAAATTGAAACAAGAAAATAGAGAAACATATATTTCATTAAACAAAAAAAAAAATCGTACATTGGGGAGACTCAGCCAATACATAACATAACAAAACAAAATAAAAAATCCTATATTATGCTGGAGGTGGCAAGAGTCTGACGCCTCCGTAGCAGGTGCTTCAGTAGTTGAGGCTCCTTAGCATGAAGTTTCGTCCATAAGATCATGCTCTTGGTCTTCTGCCTCCACTGAGTCATCAGTTGGGGTCTGAGGTACTTCCTCCAAAAAATGTTCTTTCAGCTCAGAGGCATTGAGTTCTAGGTAANTCGAATTAAATTCTTAAGTTAAATTTTTAAGCTTTCCGCTAAAAGTATAGTTAATTATTTTATTAAGTCTACGGTCTACGGGAAAAGTAAAGTTAATCTTGTTACGTTTCGATCCATGTGAGTCGGGGTGTTACAGTGGGTACCTCGGAGAAGAGGATCTCCCTAAAGGGATTACTTCATTGGATTTCTGAAGCTTACAACACAAGCCTCTTATGATAAAACTGAACGTCATAGGAAAAACCCCTATATGGATGCATCTCCACCGTGTAGGAAAGCGTATGCGCCTCTGATCAGGATGACCTCATTGGCTCTTCAAGACGTACAGCACAAGCCTCCCATGATGAAGTTGAACGTCATGAGAAAAGCTCCTACATGGATGAAGCATCCACCGTGTAGAGAAGCGTGGATCCTCGAAGGAAAGAATCGAATCCCAAAAGGGGTTATCTCATATTTCGAGGCGTGAAACAATGTTATAATTGCTGAAAAGATATATACCTCATGGAGGTCCAAAAACTTTGAAGTTATAGTTTATTTTTTAAGGTCATCATGTTTACTTTACTCGCTTGTAAGTTATATTGTTAAAATTATGTATTTTATGGAGGTCCTAATACTCGCAAGTTATTGCTTGAGTCATGAACCTTATTACAAGTTATATAGTTTATTGATAGTTGTCTCAATACTTGGAAAATCGAAAAAAGAAAATATAGAAACATATATTTCATTAAACAAAAAAAAAATCGTACATTGGGGAGACTCAGCCAGTACATAACATAACAAAACAAAATAAAAAATCCTATATTATGCCGGAGGTGGCAAGAGTCTGACGCCTCCGTAGCAGGTGCTTCAGCAGTTGAGGCTCCTTGGCATGATGTTTCGTCCATAAGATCATGCTCTTGGTCTTCTGCCTCCACTGAGTCATCAGCTGGGGTCTGAGGTACTTCCTCCAAAAAATCCTCTTTCACCTCAGAGGCATTGAGTTCTAGGTAAAGTTTGCCTAGACTCTCCACTACTTCGACGTAGGCAAATATCCTCCAATAGGTGCCGAGCACTATTACTCTTCCATCAGATGGAAGTTCGCAATGTAGTCCTCCGCTATCTCCTCACCTGCTTTTTGAGCATCGGCCTTGGCCTGCTCAGCTTTTTCTACATAGTACCTTATTTGGGTCTCTAGAAACCTATGGCGTATTTGAGCCCAGCGTTTTCTTAATTGGCCTTCTTCAATGCTTCGATCGTTAGTTTTTTATGATTGTTTGAAATTTTAACCCTTTTGGTAAAGGAAACAACCTCGCGCTGGGATTCATGGACCTTCCTCTTCAGAGTTTCGATCTCCGTTAAGGCAGAATCCAACTTAGCTACCTCTTCAGCTTGTTGGGCCCTCAGCTTTTCAGCCTCGGATCTTATTTTCTTGATTTCCTCCTCCATTGAGAACAACTTTTCAACTGACTCTCAGTTGCATGTCTGAATATCTGTCAGCACTTCTTGGCACTCAAGGGCGACTCCAAAAGCCCTAGCACTTTAGCTTTCCAGGGTTGTCGTCTGGTCCACAGCATCGCAAGTGGAGACATAGTTCTATTACCTTTCAGTCCAAAACTTGTAAAAATTGACATTGGCGTTACGAGCCTTTGGTGGCAGCATCTCCATTACTACTGAGGCAATCTCGGGTTTGCTAGGCAGCTGGGGCAAAGGTTGTGCCAAACTTTCCAACTGAGATGGTACTATAGAACAATTTCATATTTTTCTAAAGCTCCTCCATTTTTCCTTTGCCCTTGTTGACCCTCTAGGCCCTTCGTCTTCACTCTTTTAAGCACGTTCCTTATTGAGAGGATCTAGTTTCTCTTTAACGTGCTTTGTACCTTCAGAGACCGGCTTTAAAGCCCTAGCACTACCTGTCAACGTGGCTCTTATTATTAAAATATATTAATAAAATTATTTTTTTAATTAAAAAAGGGTTCGGTTCGATTTTGTATGATTTTTGAAAATCGAAATCTAAAGCAAACTATTTTGAAATGATTTGATTCAATTTGTGTGAAAAAGTCGCGGATCCATGTGGTCACGAATTAATTTGTGGTTCCATTTTTTCTTTTTATTTTGCGGCACTTTAAAGTTGAAAATCAACAGTGCAATTATTCCATTAAAAAAAATCTGTTTTTCGAAGAACCAACCAATGCAAGCCACGTGATGAGCTCTATTTCCGTTAGTATAGGTGACTAGCTTTCGAAAACAATCAACTATATGCTGTCAGAATATTATTGGTTGGCACGTCATGTCATTTGTACGATGATGTTGACATAGAACTTAGACCCATAGTTTTTCTACCTAAAATAATATTAAAATTACCCTTTCGCTTAAACTGTCATTTTCGAAGTGTTTTAAAGGACTCAAAAGCATTTCCAGAACAGAAATAATCCCCAGTTTTACTTTTTCTTACTAAAAAGACAATAAATTTATATTAAAAAATTGCTGTTTTCTTGGGGTCTTATTATTTTTTGAGTTTTAACCATTTTTGTGCCTTGCCTTTTTTGTGGTTAAGAGTTGACCCAAAAAGACAGAGAGAATAAAATATTATATGATGAATAAGGAAATGTTAGGTCCTGCGGTCTGAAAGTAAAGAAATTGTTGCATCAAAGAAGAAGAGAGATCCTTCATGTCTTATACATTTCTGGGCATTTTACTTTTTGGGAATTATTGAAAACACTTCGAGAATTTTTTTTAGGTTCTTATTCCTCAGAGTGTACAATCTTTGCTTTTTTATCCTAGGTGTAGATGTTTCTGGGGTTGTTTTACAGTGTACAATCTTTGCTTTTTTGTTCGTTAAATTCTCCGAGCTCGGGTAAATTTACTGGGATTTTTAGATTTTCTTGTTCAAATTGTGTAGTAGTCTGATTTTTATTTTATTTTTTGTCAAGAAAATTTATAAGGGTTTTGAGGGGTGCTGCCTGTGGACTGGTTAATATAAATTTTAACTCAAACCCTTTTCTGTTAAGTAAAATTTTTCTGTCAGATCCTTTTTCAATAATGAATTCGGACAATATTTTGGTCCTAAGTTTCTTTTAACTTTTAAACTTCCTATTTGGGATTTTAGCCAATTTTCTTCTGAGATTTCCACTCTTAATTTATTTAGGGTTTCGTTTGTAATTTGATTAATTAAAAGTTTGGTATTTATATATGTAGAAAAAATGGTGAGAGGAAAGGTAGAAATGAAGCTTATTGAAAATTCAACAAGCAGACAGGTAACATTTTCAAAACGCAGAAATGGGCTATTGAAGAAGGCTTATGAGCTATCTGTACTTTGTGATGCTGAAGTAGCTTTGATCATTTTCTCACATAAAGGAAAACTTTCTGAATTTTCAAGCTCGAAGTAAGTTTTTATTATGAAACTTGCAAGTTTATTTTGATTTTCACTTTGTTCTTCAACTTGTATATTTTACTGTGCTTTGTGTACTTGCAGAGATTCTAGTACTACTTTAGTTTTTAAGAGTACTTTCACAATGGGTTTAGAAATGTGTGTGATTATTGATGGATTTTGTAGATCTCCATTTGTACTTAATTTGCAGTTAGGTATTTATGAAATACCCTACAATAGAGAGCGATACAATTGCAAGAAGCAACTATAGTTGTTAGTTAAGCAAATTATAAGAGAAACAATTTTATAAAGAACAGAGAGAGAACACATCTTTTCTAAAGAGTAAACATTTTCTCTTTTAATGTTCTTTTGAGTGTGAGTGGTTGATCTGTTTGTATGCCCACAATCGCCATATCTATGTTGTGTTGATTATTTCTTTACACTAAATTGTGCCAAGTATTTCTATATGCAAACTCTGAAATTCTCATAAAGTGGATTATAATGACTGTCAAGATCATAGTCAGTGATCTTGTTCTGTAGACAACAAGGCATTTACACACATTAATGAATTCTACCTACTTAAATTAAGCCCATGTTTGATTTAGAGTTTTATTAGATTTTGATAAAAATTGATGAATTGTGTAATTGTAAAGTTGATAAGGGGCTAAATGTCATGTCTCGCTTTGTTCTGTTATATGATTTGATTTTGTGTATAAAAATTTGTTTTCATTCTTTCATGATTTGATTTTGTGTATAGGAATTTGTTTTCATTCTTTCATGCCACTTCACTATGAAGCTAGGCTATGATATTTTTAATTTGAAGGAGGGTATGATGCAAAGGTAAATAGAATTAGATTTTTAGTACATTTTGACAAATTTCAATGAAATATATGGTTATAAGGTTGTAAAACTCATGAAGTATGTGGTTAAAATCAATTTTAATTTGGACTTAGATTTTTATCAATTTTTTAGCTAAACCGAAAAGAGGGATAGTGTGTAAGAAACCAAAAGTTCTCTCTCTTTGTGCCATATGAAGCTAATCAGATTGCCTCATTTTTGTGAATGAAAGCTTCTCTATGTTTATGCAACTTATTATCTTTCACTAATGTCCCCTTTGCTTGTTGGTATCTTATTTCTGATTGGTTCTATTTGTAAGTATGACCATCATATTAGTACAAGTATCCAAGTAAGGTATTTGTTACAGGTATAAGATCCTAAGTATCTAAATATTTGCAGTTGGGACAACTTAATCTGAGATAAAAGTCTTGCTTTTTTCTATATGCTTTTCTATCAATTTTCAAATATCGCTTAGCCCTTGTTTGGGCTCCATTAAAATGTAATTTTGGGAAAAATGTATTTTGGAATAATTGATTATCGAGACTGTCACATTAAGCCTTATTTTGCAAGAGAGACTTGGCTAAAAAAGGAATGGTAATTATTAGAGACTTGTGAATTCACCTCATTTCTTGTCTTCTAAAACCCAAATAGTTTCATATGGTTGAAGATTCAATCCATTGAAGATTCCTGCAATATGCCTGTCTAGGCCCTTTGAAATGAAAGCAGCATTCCCAAGTTCATGGCTTTTCAAGAAAAAAACCTTCTCTTCTTCCTCCTTCATTAAATGCTTTTGGAGGTTGAGTATTAATGAAATTCGTGCCCTTAATTAGGGTAGTTTCCTAAGAGAAAAATTTCCCTAATATCCAGAATGTGTCTATGTTAAAGAGAGAGAGAGAGAGAGAGAGAGAGAGAGAGAGAGAATGATTCGCATCCTTCCTGTACTAATTAAAATGCAACATTTGTAATTCTAGCTAGTTAAAAGATTTTCAGAACGTTAAGGTTGTGTATAATCCTATCTATGTTATGTAGAACATAATTATTACTTATTGTGTAATGGATATTCAGCATGCAAAAGACTATAAAGAGATACCTGGAGCATTCAAGAAAAGAGCAGAACAGTAGTGCTGAAGGTGAAGGACAAATGCAGGTGAGATTCCATCCATTTTCTTGAAGTGATTCCATCTTGAATTATCGAACCACACGTAAATCTTTTGTCATTCGACTTTCTCAAATATTTCATTTGTTGTTTCCTAATGGCCATTTCATGATTTTTACTGATTTCCTAAGCAGCATTGTAAGGAGGAAATAGCAGTCTTGGCACAGAAGATAGAGCTCCTTGAAAATTCCAAACAGTTTCGTCTCAGTTTTCCTGCTTTTCCTTCCCAACTCTGAGCTAGTGTGGCCAAGCCTAAAAAAATTATAAATACATACAATCAACTTTTAAGCTCAGTCAAACATATTAGTACCTTTCTAATATGCTTGGCTTCTCCATAAGAGTAAAGAATTTTAGACTTTCAGTATAAAAGGTTTTTTAGGCTTTGCTAAACACTCTCTTTTAGGGGTTTTATGAAATTTCTTGCTCTCACTTACAGATTGAATTTTGGTGGTTCTAGGAAGCTTCTAGGACAAAATTTGGGGACATGCTCAATACAGGAACTAGAGGAGATTGACAGCCAGCTGGAAGAGAGCCTAGAAAAAATCAAAGCTAGAAAGGTGTTATACATAAAGAAATTGTCCCTTGTATACATATCTTTTCAAACTTCAATTTTTTTTGTTTCAGAAAAATCCATGATAGACTCCTACCAATTTATTTATACTGAAAAGGAAGTACATGCTTCAAGGGGGACATGGAGACAAATTTTGAATCATTTGCTTAATATTAAACAAGTGAATTAACTCTGTGCCATTTTGCAGGCTCAATTATTCAATGAAGAAATAGAAAACTTAAAAGCAAAGGTATTAGCATGAAACTCTAATGCATGAACTAGTTCATCTAATTGTTTTACTCTCTCTAATTAGTAGTAACTGGTCTTTTTTAACATATTCAGGAGAAGTTTATGCTGGAAGAAAATGCAAAATTACGTGAAAAGGTGAATTCTCAATTATCACTGTTTTCTGGATATTTAAGGAACTTCTGTTTATGTATTTACTACAATAAAAAAAATTAAATTATTAGAGTCAATTGGAATATCATGATTCTACATCTTTGAAACTTAATTCTGCTCTTGGATTTGAATCTTGAGTTCAAGATTTCTTTTGTGTTTGCTCTCTTTATGCTTACTTCTTAGGTATACTGATTTTACAGTAGCAAGTATTCGTATATTATATTCAACATGCATATTGATTTAAAGGTGACTAGTTTGTGTGAGAATGTTAGGCAAAGCTCATAAGCAAGCTTGCAAATTTATAGAAACTTCATTTTCAATCATACGTTTCAATGGACCCACAAATTATATCCACTTATTCATAACTCATATTTATCTATTTATACATTATTTAGTAATTAAATAGTTTATAAATTCTTCCCTGACGGAGGCTAAGAACTAATACTTCATTTCCAAATATGTTTGTTTATATACTACTCTTTTATTACTTTTGAGTTAAAAAAAAGGATGATTATTTTAAAAGTAATCTTATCGTCGTGTCAAAATGATCAACTTGCTTATTTTTAACTTTATTGAGTAGAATTTTTTTTTTTTTTAATTAACTTATTTACTAATTATAAGTAAATTTTTTTTTTTAAAAAAAAGAGGTGCTTTAACATGATATGAGACGAATATAAGTCCCTCGGTGAATTCCTCCACTTGCCCTATTTTAAAAGCCTATGGGATGGTTTGAAAATATATATAAATAAAGCCCATGTTTGACAATTTTTTTATGGAAAGAATGAGTTTTTGAATAGTATATTTTGGAAGAATGTATGGTTAAAAAGTAAAGAAATTTTGTGTTTACGTGAATAATATTTTATTGTGAGAACGTATGGTTGAAAATGAGTACGAGAAAAAAAGAAAGCGAAAATATGATTGTCAAACAAGGGCAAAATAAAATTTTAATCTTTTTTTAGTTTATGTTTCCAGACAACGTAGTCCAAACAATTTGAAGTATTTATTGCGTGGTTATCTCATGGCAGACTTAGACATATATATAGTGTTTCGGGATGATTAAGAGCGTGTCTGGTCACGCTTTTGTGAATTAACAGCAACATTAGTGCCGTTGGAACTGGTCAGTGGGACCCACTCCTGAGAGAGTGGGTCAACAATGGCTGCCTATAACGGGCCAAAAATGGATTTTGCTCCTCCAAAAAGCAATCCCAGACACAGCCTAAATTTTTTTCACTTTCACGTTTGACATAGAACATAAATACTATTTGTGACTCGCATGTTTCTCTTTTTAATTATGTTAATAGCCTCAACTCAACATTGCAAGTATGTCATATAGATTAATTTCTTGTATTGTCATTCAAATTATTCCATGAGTTTGTTTTACACATTATCTTTAGAAGAGTTTTCCATTAACTGTTTCAGTGAAACTGCTAAAAATATGATATTTGCAGTGTGGATTGAAGCCAGAAAACGAACCAGAGAAACAGAAAGAAAATGTTAGTTGCAGCCGAAGCACAAGCTCCGAGGTGGTGACAGAATTGTTCATTGGCCTGCATCCAGTACAGAATGGCTGTTGACAATTTACATGCACATCTCGTTGATTTACAGCTCTTAACACACAGCAAAATATATATAATTTGTCCAAAATAATGGTCTGCTGCAGTATATAATATAATAAAGATGCATTACATTGCTAAGTGGGAAATATACTTTCTTTCTCATGTATCCTTCTAGAATTTAGTCAGCTTGATGTATATGTTTGTTTGAAATAAATTCATGTAGAATATTCATATTGATGTTTGTTGGATATTGTCAAGCTCATTTGGTAGGGATTAAAATCAGATTTTTAATAAATTTCGATAAAAGTTGATAAATATATGGGGCCTTTTTGTTTTAAATTCTCAAATTCTACAGTAAATTAATTCTCATTTTCAACCATACATTTTTTAATAAAATAATATTTTCTATCATATCAATAATTTTTTCTTCTTTTTCAACTACACATTTTTCATCATATCACGATTCAAAAATCAATTCTTTCCCCAAAAATTCCTACTAAACAAGCACATGCTTGAAAAGTTGCAAATTTCATGAAATATATGATTAAAATTAATTGTTGACTTCGATTTAAATTAAAATATACCAAAAAGGGGCTAAAAATGATCCCTTTTGACTGCATTTCAACATTTTTAAAGTGTATTTTAGGGTTAGGACATATTAGGTAAGCTTGTAATTAAAGTGTACCTTGCGTGGAGACCAGGACACTTCCACCCTTTATATTCAAACGAGTGTTTTTTTATTGAAAAAGTCATGTTAAATTACTATTCACTGAGGCAATATACATTTTACTTTTTAGAGTTGTTACTACTTTGGTACAAATGTTACCTTTTTGTTAGCATTATTTCTTTAAAACAGCGTTTACATTCACAAAATTGAATTAATGGTAAGAACCAGAATCTCGAATGCCCTTTATTCTTTTATTTTAATATCAATTTTATTATTTGACAATAATTATTTAGATTTGAAAATCATGTTTCTATCCACTGGGTCACCATTGCTTAATAACTGTGCAACTTACCCAATGATTTGTTGATTAAGGGTCTGCTTGGGAGTTTTAGGTATTGATTATGAGCGTTTTTTAAAGTATCGATTTTAAGCATTTATGAGCGAATCAATTTTGAATGGTTTTAGCAACGATTTTTAAAATAAATTTAAATATTTATTTAAGCATTTTTTACTTATAAGTAAATTTTGCAATCATAAATTAATTTTGTACTCTCAAATCATTTTTACACATAAGTGAATTTTCACTTATGAGCAACTTTTTACATTTTATAAGTGATTTTTTGTCTCGTTAGTAGTATTTTTTACTTTATAAACGAATTTTTACATAAAAGTGATTTTTTATAAGTAATGTTTTACTTATAAGTAATTCTTTTTAATTATAATGTAATTTCTTGGCCTATAAATAAATTTTTATTTATAAGTTAATTTTGAACAAAATATGTTGGTTGAAAATAATTATTTTATAAATGATAAAACTATAAGAGAATACGAGAAACAACCAAAGTCCACCGATTTGATGGGTTGAGAGAACTTGTCAAAATTACACAACCGATTTTAAGTAATTTTTAAACAATCCAAAATCAGTGTAAAAAAAAAAAACTATCAAGCACCGATTTTTAAACCTCTCATAAACGGTGCTACAAAAAATCGATCAAAATGGGTGAAAAAAAACTTTCAAACAAGC